TACAAAATGTATACACTGGAAAGGGCCTGACTACCCTCCTGAAACACTTCCACAGGTCACAGTCCAGTATTACAGCCCCTCTTCAAGGTCCTTGTGATGGTCTTGTTCCAGACTTATTTCCAGATGAAGCCACTAAAGCATTGTCTGACACTTAGGTCTGCCCAGGCCTGGCTTTGGGAGAAGAAAAGGGAAAGCCAAGGCCGTGTGAATTCTTTGCCCTAGAAATCTTTTGTGATTCCAACAAGATATGTATTGTCCAGCCTTAAAACATCACAAATAACATGGAAGTTGAAATATTCTTTATTCTTGATCATCAAGCCTCTGTTTATTTGCATACAGACAGCCCTGTTTTTCACAAGGTGCCTAAATCAGACGTCTGTGATGGGCAGTCTGGTGTGTATCACACTGCCAGTTTGCCATCTAGTGGTGTACCATATAGATAATTTTATGTCTTATTTCATCATTTCAGTGGAAAGATGCCTCCAGAACACAAACACAAGCTAATTTTTCTGCTAGTTGACTTCAGCAATATATTAGCAGATGCCAGTCCATTGTCCTCTGCTCAATGATCGTTAATTCCTAGAGTTTGCGTTTTGTCCTCCAGGAGCAGAAGCTGCCACTGGACAACTGGTCTGGACAGCTCTGGGACTCCACAGGAGAACTGCTGTATAGATTCAGTTGCTGTATAGATTCAGCTGCTTCTTACCAACTTAGGCCTTACTGCCTTTGGTGTTCCCCTGGTCTAAAAAAGACAAAAAAGAAACTAGGTTTTGAACAGGAGATACATTTAAAGAAACTGTTGTTTTATTCCAGAGGACTGAGCTGCTGATTCACACTTAGGGTGTGAGGACCAGAATGATGCCATGCTTGGCACATGTAAATGTTACCAGAGGCATTATTGATATCCTGCTGCAGCACTGGCCTCATCTTGACAGCTTAACACAATAAAACACTGTGCTCAGGTATCTAGACTACTTACAGGGGTGATGGGCCTTTGCCTGACATGCTCTTATGTTGTATAGATCTGTGTCTGCTGTCATCTGCAGCTTGCTAAAGTGAGCATCCTCTCTGCAGCATCACCAAGTCATGAAAACAGGTTTTCACGAGAGGACAGAGGGCATCAGCTTTCAATGGAGTCATGTCGACCAAGTCTCAAGAGTCTATAATGATTACTGACAGTCAAAGCATTGATTAGCTGAAGATATTTCCATATTCATGCCTTTGCCTTTGCACTGACCAAAATAGGACTTTTGGGGGCTCCTCAAACACCTAGCACACTTGCTGAAAGCAGCCCAGGCACAGCCTATAAACTAAGCTGCAGCACAAACATGACCTTAGTCTTGTGTCTGAGCCTGTGTGTGCTTTAAAATCTCTTCTAAAGCTGGACAATAATATGGCATGATATTTTCCTTGTCAAAAACAGACCTGAGAATATCTGCAGTAGGTGTCTATAAGTAAGACAACAGCAGAAAATTGCTCTGCTGCCAATTGTGATTTTATTATGAGTCCTGCCTAGAAGCTGCTTTTCTCTGGAGCTTGGAGAGATTTGTGGAAATCTCCAATTTTAGATAAAAATAGGTGCCTAGATGGGATGTAAAGTAAATTTTATACATAAAATTAGGCAAAAGTAAAGTTAGGCAAAAGAAATAAACCCATACTGCCTTTCTTACTCTGCCAAGATTTTAATAAAAGTCTAATGATTATACAGTGGAAGATATTTACCTCAAATTTCAAACATTCTGGGTTAGACATACTGAAATTGCCTCTATGGGAACCATTTCAAGCTCACTGAGTACTTTTAAGTCTTCTTCCTACTATTTTCCGAAAGTTTCAGGTGATTAAAGATATTTTAGAAATCTTTAATCTGGCTTCTGAAGTTTTTGGATGAAGTCTGCTGTCCAAATGTCATAGAATTGGAGAATCATTGAATACAATTGGGAGGGGACCTCAGGGATCATTTTGTCCAACCTCTTTTTTGGCAAAAACATGTTTTAGACAAGATGGCCCAGCACCCTGTCCAGCTCTATGTATCTTAAAAGACTCCAATACTGGGGAATACACCATTTTCCCAGGGAGATTATTTCAATGGCTGATCATTCTCATTGTGAAAATTTTTCCTCTTGTGTCTAATTAGAATCTCCCCAGGATGAACTTGTACCCATTACTCCTCATCTTTTCCATGTGCCTCCCTGTAAAAAGGGAGTCTCCATCTCCTTTATAGTTACCCATTTCTCACAAAACATCATGGCATTTTGATGAGAAAACACTTGAGCAGCCTTTTACTTTACAGCTGAATATGATGTTTGGTTTCAACTGCTGCATTTTTTGAAAGCCCAAGACAGACCTCAGGTCATGTGACATTTGAGAAAACATAATGCTGGCCTGCTGCATCATCCTTCCAGGGCTGAGGCAATAGAGTCCTGCTTCTCTGGCTGTAGTGCAGTCTTATGGCTTAATTCATACGCTGGGACAGATTCCTGCATGGCAGTAAGAGGTTCAAAGTCCCCACTGACCTATTTCCCAGGTTCTGGAATTATAGAATAAGATAGGGCCTAGAAAAGCTGGGCTGTAAATGTGTACCCTGCAAAAAGGTCTCTGCACTCAAGCAGAATACGATGGAAGCCAATTTTGTGTCCCACTCTTGGTGCACAGGCATTGACAGGTCATATAACTTACAGGCTTGTCACATCTGTGGCAGACTGGGAATGCCTTTCCCCTTGATGAGAGGAGCTCAAGATATCTGTTGGGACCACAATCAGCCCTTGGCATGGGAATGCCTTTCCCCTTGATGAGAGGAGTTCAAGATATCTGTTGGGATCACAATCAGCCCTTGGCATTACAAAAATTTTGGCAAGGGGCCCTGTTTAGCCCTACTTTACTGAAGAAAAGTTGAGTGAAAAAGAAAAGTAGGGACTCGGGCAAACAAAGCGTTTTAGTTCTACTGGAAGTGGTGGAGGAACTCTGCTTACAGTTCGTATTTGGTTTGAAAGTGGTAGGGCTGAGTTTTGGAAATGCCATTCCTCTTCCCTAGTGTCTCTCCCAACCCACTAGAGGGCCCCAAAGTCCACCTTAACAGATAGTTTTGGCACGCTGGAATTTTTTAAGACTATACACAAAAGTGAAAGTGTTTTCCAGAATTCTTGTGCTTTCTGGTTTTGCTATTTCCAATGAAATGTGTAGGGTGAACACAATCACAAGAAAATAAGGATGTGGGGAAGAAGATACTTTGAAGGGCAGCATCAACAGTGACTTCCATTCCCTAAGGAATTTCAATGGCTTTCTGAAGTTTGGTGGGGATGTTATTTCCTCAGCAGCACATGGATTTCACCATATCTTTTCTATTTTATGAGACAGATTCCCCGAGAGTGCACAAGAGGCTTTTGATTTCATACCACTCCCTATGAGGAGCTGGAGGCCACTGTGCAGCAGGAAAGTTATGATGTAGTGACCATCACAGAAACGTGGTGGGATGACTCACACAGCTGGAGTGCTGCCATGGATGATTACATGCTCTTCAAAAGGGATAGGCAAGGTAGGAGGGGTGGAGGAGTGGCTCTATGTGTCAGAATCTCTTGAGGTGACAGGGATCATCCTGGGAGCAACTGTGACCTCAACTGAGAGTGACTGGGAGTGCCTGCATCCAACTGGGATCATGCTGGAATCAACTGGGAATGATTGGGAGCAACTGAGCCTATAATGGAGGCACCTGGGCTCCAATTGGGAGTGACTGGGAGCAACTGAAATCATCCAGAGGGTGACTGAGATCATCCTGGGAGCAACTGGGACCATGCTGGGGGTTACTGGGATCTTTGTCTGAGTGACTGGTATCATACCGGGTGTGACTGAAAGTGACTGGGATCATGCTGGGAGTGACTGAGACCACACTAGGGGAAAATGGGATCACGTTGTGGGTAAGAGGGATACCCTGGGAGCAGCTGGAGCCATGCCGGGGGCAACTGGGAACACATTGGGTGCAACCAGACCACACCGAGAGTGACTGGGTTTCTCCTGGGAATGACTAGGAAAATGCTGGGATCACCTGGGCTATACTGGGAGTCACTGGGGTCCTGTTGGAGGTGACTGGGATCCTATTGGGATAATTCTGGGAGCACACCGAGGGTGACTGGAAGTGACTGTGAGAAAGTGGGATCCTGCTGGAAGCAACTGGGCGTGACTGGGAGCATTGTGGGTGTGACTGGGCTCTTAGTGGGAGCAACTGGGTACACACTTAGGGTGACTGGAAGTGGCCATGAGCAAGAGGGATGCAAGAGAACTGAAAAATGCCCAGAGAAGTCCTCCTGTATGACAAATAATCCAGAACAACACAGTGTAATTACACAGATTAGTATTAGCTGTACAGTTGCACTTTAAATTCCTGTGTGAGAATGAACCCACATGTCACACTGCTGCAAGACAGACCTGGCTATTACACCCACTCTGGCTTGCCAACAGTGTGTGTGCAGTCATACTGCTCAGCAAACACACAGATCCCTTTGGTTCCAAACTGTTTGTGGCACAGGTAGTATCATAAACGTGAAATATTATACTTCTGCCATCTCTTGGAGTTGACAAGTTTCAGCAGATTTTGAGAAATCAGATAAGCTACAAACAGGTTCATGTTCAAGGCCTGGTGTTCAGAATGTAATGCAGGTAATGAATGCTCCTGCAGCAGAAATGCAGAAAGGTATTGACCCAAGAGTAAACGGAAATGAAAGAAAGCAATTTTGAAAAGGGAAATATTCCTATGAAATATTTCTAAGAAAGAGTTCTCTATTTTTACCTTGAAATATACATTTTTATTCCACAGTGTTTAATTAGCTTTATGGCCACTTTCTTGGAAATGAAATGTCAATCAAGTAAACAGTTCACATTTTCAAAACAAGCACTTACCAGGATGTGCTAAACCTTGCAATTTTGCTACAATATTTTCTTCTGTAGTCTACATACTAAATTGCCCTGTACCACATAGCTTTCATTCTTCTCTGTTCTTCAAACACAACTCACATTGGATTTTAACAAGTTCACATGCTCAATGACATTTTCTTATAAAAATTTTATCAGGTCACACAGCAATATGAAGGTTGTGAAAATAGTAACAAAATTGTTGTCATATGTGCAGAGTACCATCCTACTAAGTCAACAACCTCTCTGAAAATCATTAAGGATGGAGGGCCAAGAGTAGCTCTTGGCCAAGCTACAGCAATTCTGTTGACTTTAAAAGCAATGCATTCACCCTGTGAGATTGCTTTTGTGTAAAAGCTTCCTCAGAAGGTTAATGTAAATTAAGCTGTCAATCTATTCTAGATTTTCAAAAGGGAAAATTTATCCTTTATCACTGGGAAAAAATGAATTTTCCAAAGTATTAATGAATTTCTGTCTCATCCATGCTTTGAAGTTTCGATACCACTCTAAAAGCCTTTTTCTCCTTTGAATCTTTTCTTGTAAGCTCATTTTTTTTTCTTTCTCTAGAATAGCAGGAAGCTCTTTCCAGTTTTTAATAAAGATAAATGGAGCCCCCATGGTTTTTAATAATTGTAATGGAGCACTGTGGTTCATTGATGAATTTCCGCAATCGCCCGGTGTCATTACATCTTCTATAACAGGCAGAGATCCATATGAACAGGCTTCATAAATTCTGTAACATTCTGTATTTATTCCCACTGGGCACAATGTCAAATCACTCTGCAGCAAGGCATCCTGATAGTTTTTGAAACTTTCATTTGTTTCTTGAGGCTGCCACCTAGGAAAGGAAAAGAGGTGAAAATTACTATTTTTTCCACAGACACTGCAATGAAAAACTAGGAAATGCTTTAACTTCAGTTACTTATAAAACTGAAAATACTGTCAGTGTAAGAATGTTATATTACACACACAATCAACAGGCTTTCACTTTTAGTCTTAACTGCTCTTAAGAGACTTCTAAAAATTTATTGAAAGTGTTACTGTTAAAAATAGATTGTAATCATGTTAGATGTGGTCCTTTCAGGAAATTATTAATACTTAGAAGAGACAAATTGAAATGCCATTTTGAGTCAGAACTGTACTCTTGTAATTAGTTAAAAGATCTGTTCTACCTGCGTGAAATAAAACCCAACCGTACTGTACAGATTAAATCCACAACACAACAAACTACAGCTGGATATTTTCTTCTACGAAGACATTAAACCACACAAAGTACAAGACAAATATTTCTTCTCCCATCATAATCAAATGTATACAAGAAAAAAAAAAAAATATGGTCTTTATATGTAGTATACCTGGGAGATTTTTCTAGGTATGTAAAAATACGCTTTATGTAAAATATAGCAACAGAAAAGCCATTATGATCTGAAGACCTACACAAAGAGTCTCAGCAATATTCTCTGATAAAATTATGAGTGGTTACTTTTATTTGTATTATTTTTTAACACTCAAGAAAAACATTGGGAATAATGAACCAGGCAAGAAAGTCTGAATATTTTCACAAAGTAAATTAAAGCCTTACTGTTCTCTGGCTGCAATCCAGCAAAGTTTGTCAAGCCCATCCTGCTTCAGAATTTCCATCAGGGTTTCTCTAGAAGAGTTCTTATAAATTGTTCCTAAGAAATTACATAGATGTGGTCTTGGATCTCGTAGCATTGACCAGCTGGGCTCTACAACTGGAAAATTTCTGTAGCTGTAAAAACAATATATAAGTTAGACAACTATGTTTTCTGTCAAAGGAAAAACATTTTGCACCATTTCATCTTTACTGCATCAGATTTTAAGACTAAAACCACCTGTTTGTTGCCAATCCACATCTATACACACAGACAGACTCACGAGCAAATCAGTTCAAGTCCTTTCCTAAATGCAGGTCTTTATACCCTTTGCCCCCAACACTTTCTTCAGAGACTTTCCAGAATGCTTACGTCTTTTGTCAACATCAGATGTATTATGTACACATGCTACAAAACATCCTTGAGTAACATCTCTTCCAAAAAGCTGTTCTTGATGCAACCACAAGTTTTGATTGAAATGGCCACGTTAATGATAACTATGGCATTTAAGTCTCAGCTACCTTAATCTCTGGGAATGCTTATCAACTGAAAATTCCACTGGTAACCTCTAGAGGCAAAATCTCTCATGGATCTGGGTGGATTTCACTAATCTCATCTTTTGGCTACTCAATAGCTTGTTGTACAAGCTACTTACCTTGTCGTTTTGAACTCAACAAAAGCAATGCAAAGTCCTGGGATCCAATGTAAATTTTATGCCACCCTTTTAGACATGTTTTCATCACATCAGGCATTTTTATTGTTTGACTGATTCCCCAAATCTTACATATAGCCGTTGGTGTGCAAGGGCTGAAAACACCCATTTCAATAACTAATTTATCTTTCTCCACTCAGCTTTGCATCTTAGTTTATTGTTGTTGTAGCTGTTGTTGCTTTCTGTAACTGTCACCTGAATCTTTGCATCTCAAAACTCAACTTCTTTTCCTTAGGAACTCCCCATGCTGTCAATGCCATCAATCCTCCGACACCATCAAGAATCCAAATTCAGCATATTTCAGAGACACTCTGAGCAAGTTCAAGCTATATATAAAAGAATTTTCCAACTGGCTCAATACAGGATATTGAATCCAAATTCAACTTACGTGGCTACTCCTAAAGGCCACTGAAAAATGTCTTCTTCATTTACGAACGCACAGTCATATGTAATGAAGAGCAGATTGATAAATCCTCCGTTTCTTTTCAGGTACGGCTGAACCCATCCGTTACTGCACTGCTCGTTTCCCAGCAGCAAAAGTGCCACGTGCTGGATCTTGCGGGTCTGAATCAGTGTCTGTGTATAGTGCAACCACTGCGTGGCGAACGCGACCTTCGCCTTCTCCCGCCCGTTCAGCACCAGCACCACATTCTCTGCTTCCACCGGGAAGTAGCCTGGAACCACGGATGGACCAGTGATGAAGCTGTGAAGGACCACATAATCAGTCAACTGACAGACTTATTAAATGCAGCAAATTATTTCCATGTTATAAACATGAAAAGCAAGGGCTTGAAAGAATTTCTAATGTCAGTACCAGGAACATAATCTATCTGGAAGAATGTCATTGATTTCTGCAGCTTCTGAGATTTTAATTCTGGAAACAACCAAGTCTCTTCCCACCAAGATAACACTACAGGCACTGGTCCCTATTCAAAGAAAGCATTGTATCCTTTCTCTAAATTTGTGAATGGAAAGCTCTATTGCTCTGTCAAGGAGACTACTAAGATGCAGTAGCACCATTCATAGTTGATTCTCTAATCTTGTAGGATCATCTTGTATTTGCAGACAAGGAATATAATTACTTTTCTTAAACAGTACTTAATTCCATCTATTTCCTTAGATATAAGACAGACCTTTTAGTAACTGCTGTGCATAAATCAAGGCTAGGTGTCTTCTTCTAGAAAACATCTTTTAATCTCTTATGAATGTGATGCAGGCATTACTGAAGAGATTCTGTGGTCTGACCCATGTTCACAGCTACATTGATAAATCAAAAAAAACCCTTCTGTGATCACTTAAAAACCCCTTTCAATCACAATCACATATTTACTTCAAACACTACCTGCAAATTTCAACTAGAACCACATCTAATTGTGTGAGGAAAAACCACATTTCTAAAGGAACACATTTTTCAGAAGTTAAATTCGCTTAAGCACATAATTTATGTATTAAAACCATCTTAACAGCAGGTCCCGGTGCAAGTGACTAAATGCTGCAGGAGATCTACTACTGCAGACTGGCTAACTGGCTAAATAGGTGAAAAATCCTTCAGCTTTTGCTGCATCTTTACAGAAAGCCTCAAAGTGGTATTAAATGGGAGCTCAGAGAAAAGTTCTGTATCATTCACTGAATAATATAAAACATTTGACAACAGCCTCAAAACATGCATGACCACAGATCGAATGCCCTTTTTAAAGCAAACAGAGCTTAAAGTGTAATCTTCCTTTACATATAACATTTTGGTTTGCAAACCAAGCAGCTAACCAGACACTAGGTCTCCCAGGCTGCTTTTGTTATAAACAGAAACAAACTATGGTTTCGATCCAACCCCATCTATGAACTAATGAGCCAAGTCCCTTTCCCCTGAATACAGCAGAAACCAAATAACAGAAGGCATCCCCTTGACTCACAATTCTGTGCTTGTTTTCATCAACTATGAGCCCCCAAACCCCAGTTCTTGAGACTTTTCTCAGGGACACCGACATCTCTTGCCCATCCTTCCACTTGGCATTGATAAGCATTTCCATATTTTTTTCAAATACACAAACCTTCATAAAACAGGTGAAATTTCTCCCTAGTTTTCTAGTTTTTAATAGTGACATGTTTGGGCTAGAATTAGCTTATTTTATCAAGTATGTGTTTCCACAAATAAATGATCATTTTGAGTGAGAAGCTGTGTGTATATTCCATAGTTACCAAAACATGACAAAAGTAAAATATTTGCAACTGTATTAAAATAACTACAACTTTGAGACAGGCAAAATAATGCACCTGTGCTTTGTATCATGTACTTTAACCTCCCCAAGGTATTATCTGTTAAAGTTTACACAATTGAAATGAACATCATGAACAACACCTGAAATATGTTTTTCCTGCTTTTTGGCTTCCTTCTCTCCACTGTGCAGTCACATCAGCTGGTTCAAGGTGCCCTCCAAAAATATGTTGCCAAAGGTAAAGACCTACACAAATGAAGACATGATGGAGAATTTGAATGCACAGATCTTGCCTGCTCTATACTCCTAGCTTTTTCTGGGACGTGAAAAAGCATCACGACATAAGAACTCGGGAAATAAATATCAGAGCTTCTTAAATAATATGGACATTGCTTCTCAAATTCCGTGAGACTTTGAATTAGCTAAGATTAATTTTTACCACACTGGGACATTTAAAAAGATTCTTTTGCAGACAAAGTATCAGTAGATGAAGATATACCATACTACTACTTCTGTTGGCATCTCTTTCCAGCACACATGCCACTTAAAAATGAGCAGTATTAATCAGGATTTTAAGGACAAGGACACATCTCTTAAGCTTTTGTGATGGAACACGCCTCCAGGTAATATACCAGTGTGCACTACAATCCTCTGTGCAAGTTTATCTGAAGCTGGAAATTTGGCATTTTCAAGAAAGTCAAAATAAGAACAATGCCATGTCTTCAGCAGTAGTTAAAGAGCTTGAGAAGACCTTGGCTCCCAGTTTGCATTGAGAGGAAACTCAGTGTCTTCAACAGAAGAATTTCCACATTCAGCAGCAGCAGTAGTACTGCAGTACAAAGAATGTTTTATTTCTCGTTGTGTGATGCTTTATTTCACAAAGCATAAATGTGACAAAAATATATAGATATATAGTCTGGTTTAGCCAAATAAGAGGCTTGTCCTTGTGTTGTACTGTAAACTACATTGTATTAAGAAAGTAACTGTGTTCCTCTGCCATTTGAGCCATTTTCTTTGACAGATGCAACAAATAGCCTTGAAAAGAACTGATACAAAGAAACTGGAGTCTAACTACTCTTACACGGGTATACATTTGAGTAAGAGCATTTCCTTAACACTCCATGTACACATGTATGTACTATTGAATCCCATACATACATAAATTTTAGCCATTAAAAAGCAGAAAAAAGTGCTCTGTCAGAAAGGTAAAGTGATTAATAAACACTGATAACATCTGCTTACCAATTGCTGCTTTGCCCCAAATCTGTACTCTATGACTGGTCTGTTCTAGGTCAGACCTCACATATTTCACCATCTTAAGATTAGCTTCATATCTCTGCTGAAACACAGCCAGCTCATGCTTCTCATCCCCTTCCCACGGATTCCACTCTTCATTTCCCAAGGCGACATGATCTACAAAAAACAGAACCTGCGTATAACGAATGGATTCACCAAAACAGAAACAATGATGGATTTTCTCCAACCCACAGCACCTGACGAACCTCCCCGGGCGCCGGGCAGGGCACACAGCCCCGCGGGGCCGCGCTAGGGACGCGAGAGCCGGCGGCGA